TTTTTTTTTTTTTTCCCCCCTGAGCATAAATTCAGTGTTAGGCGGCAATCACTTTTGTTTACTTATGAACTGCATCCTCCCTGCCCCAAGTATCTGCAGTACAGTCATCAGGAGCCTAAATGGTCCCATCTTTCTCAATCACTGGCTTCTGTTTACTATTAAGGACAGCAGAGTCTGGTTGGATTTTCAAGTTGTTTGTGAATAGTTATGCTTTTAGCATTAGAAAGTGAACAGAAAATGAGTTAGAGCTAAGTTATATTGCTCTGCTGGCAGAAGCTACAGCTAGATTCCTGTAACAGAATCCTAGGATACTGAGGAACACAAATGAACACAGAGTTTCAAAGCAGAGTGTCACCTTATAGAACAGCCCATCAACCTGCAAGAAAATTCAGAGGGGAATACTTAACATGACTGATTACAGGCAAGATGAAGCAGTCACTTCTAGATCAGTGACTTCAAGAAAGTTCTTACTGCAATATGCTAGGTAGATCTAAAATCTTTTGAGGAAAGATCTGAAGAGTTTTAGATCTTTCGGTATTTGAGACAAGCACTTCAGGAGTCCACACGAGAACCTCTCCCAGAATTTAGACTAGCTGAAAGTACTGTACAGCCAGACTACGTCTCTGAAGTTATTTTCCACAGAATCCTTACTTCCAACAAATAGTTCCTATGGCTGACGTAGAAATAGTGTCTAGTATTAGCTACTTAACAGCTATATTCTCTAAAAGAGTAGAGAGTACTTCCAATACTTAAGAAGCAACAAAGACAGTCCTTGTTTTAAGTATTCAGCTTCTATTATGGAGTGAATCTAAAAAGAATACAGATGCCTATAACCCTTACTAAAGGCTAAGGTAGAACTATTCTCCCTGCATGTCCCAAAGCATCTATTTGAAGTTTAATTAGTGAATTTCAAGCGATTAAAGGTGATTAAAATCGCAAAACTCCAAGGAAGACTTTGGAGGGAAAAAGAAAAAAAGGTGTACTTCAAATAAACGAGAAGAGCTTTACCTGGTTTACATAATGCTAGTAATCTATCAGACTGAAAGTCTTAGCTTCTGAACCTGTGCAATACTCACTTTGGTAAGGTACTCTCTCATCACTTGGATGAAATAAGGCATTGCAAAGTCCATGATGTTATGCCTCCATGCCAACTCGAGGACTACGTCTGGGTGCAGCAAGTCATAACATGTGAAGAGGCAGGCTGCAAAGCACTCCTGCTTGCCTTCTTCCAGGAACCACTGAAGCAGCTTCTCAGCTAGTTCTGCATCTTTGGATTCTGCAGCATACTGCATGGCATCCTAGAGAAGGAGACCACAGTTAAGTCTGACC